AGTGCACCATGAGCATAGGCACTGACGCCATGGGTGCTCTGGGGTTGGAGCACCCATGGGGAAAAATTAGTGGGTGCTCTGCACCCACTAGCAGCCATGCTCCCCTCACCCCCACCTCCTCTTCCTTCTCCCCGAGCGTGTCCCGTCCCTGCTCTTCCACCTACCTCCCAGCGCTTCCCGCCCAGCCACCACCAAACAGCTGTTTGGCAGCGTTAGCTCGCTCTGGGAGTGGGGGGAGGAGCGGGAACATGGCGCACTCAGGGCAGGAGGTGGGGAAGGGGCAGGGCCGGGGATTTGGGGAAGGAGTCGGAATAGGGGCAGGGAGGGGGCGCAGTTGGGGTGGGACTTTGGGGAAGGGGTTGGAATGGGGGCGGGGCAGGGGTGGGGCCTCATGGAAGGGGTGGAGTGGGGGCAGGGGTGGGGGCAGCGCGGGGGGGAGTCGAGCACCCTCGGAAAAGAGGGGAAGTCAGTGTCTATGATCCTGAGCCTTCCGAAGACACCTGACATGACAAACTTTGCATTGGATACCACACAATCATATTATAAGGATGAACATGGGGGTGCAGGGTGTTCCCTCAAGGTACAGAGCGTCACACTTACCCAGTGGTGTAAGTTATGCACGGAACAATAAATGGGTCAGAATACCAAGCTCCCTTTGATTTCACTGGGATTTGTGCACATGTAAGGATTGCAGAATCAGGTTCACTGTTATAAACGAGAGGTCTCAGAAAACAAAGGCTGCAAGGATACAAGCCAATTTGTCTGCTGGTGGCATTCCATTAACTTTGATGGATTTATATTAGCACCAAAGTTTATTACTACTGAAGCTAGAATGTATTAAGCTTTTGTTAGACATGGTGGTGGCTATATAACCAATAAAGGTAAGCTGTGCAAGTTCCTCAGAGCACATTATGATGTTGCAAAGGCACTGTATATTAACAAGAAGACTGATGGGCAAAAGTAATTTCTTTTTTGGACACCTTCTGCTCCCCCAAAATTGGCCCCCTTATGTAATTCTGCCTCGGTGTCCCCTTTCTCAGATTATTTATAACTTTGGAGGCACCTAAAGTTCTGGTACTTCATTATGGTCTCACAGGTTACCTGAGCTATACACCCCTGCTCTTTGAACCATTTCAAATAAACATCCGATTGAGAGCTTTTGGCTACCTGCCAGTTTACTCATTTTTTCTTATATAGGTACCAGGAAGAGCAATGAAGCTAAAATGGCACACTTCAAAGATAAAAAAATATTTTGTAGTAGTTCCATGATATGAAAATAGACATTAGTGTTAGATGAGACAGCAGGTCTTTTCAGCAAATTTATCCAGAAAACATGTCCTTGGGTGAGGGGTGTTTATTGACCAGTTTATTGATAGTTCTTTTTGTTTTCAATGGGAAAAGAATTCTCCCTTTCTTTGCATGTATTACAGAGTTTAATAGGATTATTCAGGTGCAGGTTTGTGGGACTGAGGAAAATTCTACCCAGTGTTTGTCAGAAATCTTCAGCACTTTCATTGTGTTGTTTTTTTTTAAATTTTAGATGATGTGTATAAGAGCCAAAAATATCAAACTGGATTATCAAAACTGATTTGTCAAAAGTAAGCTGGAGCGTCTGTATTTGTTATAATTAAATGCTAAAACCTACTTTAACATAACTTAGTTATAACTGAAAATCTGAACAGCAAAAGAGGATGAAAACCCTTCATGTTTTCCTGCAGGCAGGGCCGGTGCTACTGCTAGGCGAACTAGGCAGTCACCTAGGGCGCAAGTGGTTGGGGGACCATCCTCATGCATAGGCAGCTGGGTAGAGCACCTGAAAATTTGGGGCACCACTGGGTCTTAGTGTCCACCCTACTGGTTTTCCTATCCCTGTTCTGACCCTTCCTGCAGGCTCTGAGTCTTCCTGGGAAGGGGATCTAGTAGTTAAAAGAGAAAAAGTCTCCAGCCTGCCAGACCTATTAGCACAACACTGAAACTATTAAAGAGCCATTTAACAGGCATTTGCCAACCCCCAGGTATCTACTGTCAGTTTCTGAATGTACTGACCAAAACAGTTGTGCATGACTGTAATATTTACTCAGAACATGTCAGTCTACAGGACCTTAGTTTAAAATTTGCTTTAAAAATATTTCATTAGTGAGTTGGTGAAGATTATAAAACCACATCTCTAAAAAATTCTTGCATAGATTTTTAGATGCACAATCATCTTTAGCCTGAAATGCTTGGATCTTCAGACATAAGGTTTTTTAAATAACTTCTTCAAAAGACCACCCTTATCTAATATACACATTTTAATTACTATAGTAAAAAAACTTACTTCCAAAGTCTTCCTGTCCTTTCTGTCCATCCATTTCTCTCCCTCTCCCCCACTCCCCATTGAAGGAAGCAACAGCTCTTTGCTTCCAGATAGCTGGACATAGAGTTTCCCTGTCTTTACTTCTGACTATCTGATGAACTAGTTTTAAGCAAAATCAGTACCTTAGTAAGATATAAAATCCTTTGTTATGCCTAAAAACTTTGGAAACATATTTTTTTAAAGTTGGTGAAATTTCATAAACATGTATTGTTATGGAGATCACACACAGTAAATTAGTGTTCCCTTTTTCTAAAAGCAATGAACATTGTTATGAACACACTGAACCTCTGTGACTGATTAATTTAAAATAATGTCTGCTTCAGTGAGTTAAATATGTAGCAATCTGGAATGATTACTTTATGAAGGCTTAAGAGTACAATTAAAATATAAAATCAGCTTAGAAATACTGATTAAGAAAATGTAAAACAGAGAAGAGCTGCATCATGTATTCCATAATATTTAATGTTGTATTCAGCAAGACAGCTGACTCACCCTTACTACAAAGTTTTTGCAAATAAATGTCTGACAAACTTCAGGACATATCAAAAAACCTGTGACTGACATTTTTTATTCCCAAGTTTAATGCTTTTAATTAGGTACCTTCTGCATGTCCATTCTGCATGAGGGAAAGGGTACAGGGGTCTCTGCGGGGAGCTGTGACTCTCTGCCACTGTGAGGCGGGCTGGGCGTCTTGTTATTCTTTCTGCCTTGTCCCTCTGCCCACGCCCATGCCGGGCTGCAAGCTCAGGCTGCTGACGGGCTTAGGGGCACCAGCTTAATAATACCGCATAGGGCCCCATAAATCCTAAGGATGCCCCTGGGGGCGCCAAAAAGCGGTGCCCTGGCTCGGCAGGGAGGAGCCGCCTTCTGGAGGCACCAGAGAGCCAGAGCTTCGGCTTGCGGGGGTGGTGAGCCCCAGCCATGGAGGAACTGGCGCGGCGCAGGGGGCCAGGAGCCCTGCAAAGGGGGCGGTGTCGCTAGCGGGGAGCAGCCGCACCCCCCGCCTCTCCTGCCCAGGCTGCAGCAGATGCATGTGGGCAGAGGCCCCCGTTTGCCCCCCAGCTCCTCTCTCGCCATGCTCAGGCTCTGTGGCTCCTGGGCACGTGAGCTGCCGCCAGGGCGCGGGGCCCTGAGCCTGCTCCGGGAGGGGCAGCAGCGGCGGCTCACACTCCCGGGACCTGGAGAGCCTGAGCGTGGGGAGAGGGACCGGGGGGAGGGGGGCGCGCACGGGGGACTTCTGCCCACATGCATCTGCTGCAGGAGCCCCCAGAAGGCAGCTCCTCCCTGCCAAGCTGCTGCAGCGGCCCAAGCCTGACAAAGTGAGTGGACTCGGGGCGGGGGCCGCCAGGGTGGGGTGGGGTGGGGTTGCGGTGGGGCTGTGCACCCTCCAGGGGAGTTCAGAGGCTGGGGAGGGGGGAACCTGGTCTGGGGAGCAGCCTCTGGGCACGGCTGGCCCCTGGGGTCTATAAAGGCTCTTTGGGATTTGCCCCTCAATGAACTGATGTGCAGGGGGGCGGAGGCGCAAGGTGGAAGTTTCACCGAGGGCGCAAAATATCCTTGCACTGGCCCTGCCTGCAGGGCCTTTTCCTTTACTCCCTTATCCCTACTTACATACACTTTCTGTACAGGCCTGCTCTGCTGATGCACCTCCACTTCACGAAAGGGAGAAACTAATCAACGCTTCTCACCTAGCCCTTCCATTGAACTAGTTCAAGACTTGTAAGAGCCCTTTCTCCTCAGACAACCTGCAGAAAAGATACTGCTACTGCATCGCTGGGGTTTGCATGCCGTTTTGCAGCTCAAAGGGGTTGTGAAGAAGTCTGGGTTACTTGACAGCTCCAGTTCTACAATGAGTAGTGAACCACAGCCTTCTTGAACTACTGGACTCTAATTTCAAGGCTGTTTTGTTTAGCTAGACCTCTAGGGTAAGTTTAATGAAAGGGCCAATGGGGTTACTTTAACTCCTATCTGGCGCCCCAGCTTTGGTGCCATAGCATAAGGCAGCAGTTTCTCATGCAGGTTGATGTCGCTTCAAGTCATAATAAACATGTCCTTCTAGGGAGCACCTTTCGTACCAAACTGCTAGGCAGCTAACCCCCCCTCCCCCCAGCAGAGGCAGTCACCTTTGGGGGAGAAGGCGGTAGCTGCTCAGGGGTACAGAGGCATGTGACTGGGTGGTTTATTAGGACAGGAAGTGAAGAAGAATCCAGTACCCAGGGGGCACTGTGGGGAGTTGTTCGGCAGAGCGCAGGGACGGAGGTTGGCACTAGATCAGGCCTTGCTTGCACAGAGTGGGTTGGGGTCTGTAGGGATGGGGCATGGCTGTGCCCAGTTTGCCTTGTCCCGGGGGTAAGTGCCAGCGATGGGGGTGCCTATGGGCTGGCTCATGAAGGGTCCTGGGCCTCAGGCTGCCATGTCTATCTGAGGGGGGCTGCCTAGGAACCTCTGCGGGGTAACGAGCAATGGGGGGGCGGGGCAATGGGCCAGCTCGCTCCCGCCCCCTTCGTCTTGCGGTGCGTTTCCCGGCACAGCCCCGCCCCCGCATGGCTAACGGCCAGCACGGCCCCGCCCCCGCCCCGGCCCCCGGCGCCGCTGATAGGGCGGGAACTACAGCTCCGCCCTGCCTCTCACAGGAACCCGTCGGAGCCCGAGCATCGTCCCTCTCTCCGGATCCCGCCCCTTCCGCTCGGGACGGGGGCGGGGCTGTCCGGTCTTCGCTGGCGGCACTTCCGCCCGTGTGATGGGGCAACCAGCCGCCCGGGAACGGGCCTCTCTACGTCGCCGGGTAGCGCGCACGGTCCCGCGGGGAGGTAAGGTCCGGTCCGGGGCTACAAGGGGCGGCCCTGCTGGGAGGAGTGCTCCGCTCCGGGGAGGGACTTTGCTCGGGGGGAAGAATGGGCTGGGGTGGGGGTATCCGACCCCTTTCCCGAATCGGTTACCCCATCCCTTGGGGGCGGATCTCTCCCCTCCATCTCCTCACTGGTGTACGGTAGATGCCAGCTGCTCAGCAGTGCTTCATGCTGGGGGGAGGTTTCTCTGTATTTATTCATTTAATGTTAGGGTGACCAGACAGCAAGTGTGAAAAATTGGGATGGGGGGTGGGGAGTAATAGGAGCCTATATAAGAAAAAGAACCAAACGTCGGGACCGTCCCTATAAAATCAGGACATTTGGTCACCTTATTTAATGTACAAGCCACGTTCCCCACCAGCAGCGCAGCGCTTGGGCCCCTTAGTCTCAGTGTGAGCCCCACCTCTGGGGGCGATGTGGTCACTGCTCGCTGGCTGGGTGCTGTTCTGGCTGAGATTGTAGAGTATCCGTTTAACATCTGGTACTTCCCCTCTCTGCAGCGGAGCGATGATATAGACTTGGTGATGTAATATTATAGTTCTTATTGCCCAATACTCTGACCCTGGGAACAAGATGCTTGGAAAATAATTACAAAATTCAAACAAAAAGAGTAATTTCTCTGTTGTTTACAATATATAGCCATACATGGTATATTTCTTAAAAATGGCACAATATTTTTATATGAAACCTGTGTTTTGGAATGTGCCTATTTTAGGAAATGCTGTAAAATTGTGTTGAGGTTTGTTGCTGTTGAGCACTTTTTGTTGCTGCCTTTGCATGCAGATCCACATGGATATTTGCTCTATTGTGAATAAGGTACAGGAGATGTTATATACACACAAGATTTGGTTTCAAGATCAGAACTTCATTGCATACTAATTGCAGCCAGTTTGTCCATTGGTGTAACACTGATGTCTTGACACAAACTTTTTAAAAAAGTTTTTAATTTTTTTTTTAATTTCTCTCTAGGAAATTGCACATTAGTTGCACAAGTTATTTGTAATGTATGCTTTCTTGGGTATAAGGGAAAGGTTGCCATGACAGTCTTAACTTTAAATGTTCCTAGGTTTTGGTGACTTGTCATGTTCATTTTATTTTAAATTATTTTGTGCAAGTTTTTTATATTAACCAAGGTAAGGAGGAAAAATCTTTCCTGGAAAACTTTGATACATACCACAGAAGTGGCAAAATCTTTAATTAACTGGTCTATGTTCTACATACACGCAGTTAAACTTACGCTAATATTTGACAGTTAAGATGCTCTGCTTAGTAGGACCCTTATAGACTAAAAGGAGAGCTGACCTAATTTGATTTTATTCTGTCACCAGATTTCTTTATATCAAATTATTTCTAAAGAAAATAAAGCATAATTTTGGTAACATACGGCTGTCGCTATTTGCATGAGCATGAATAATTATTGTGACAGTGTGGTATTCCAGTTTTTGCTCAAAACTCGATGGTAGTTGATACGAATTGGGGTTCTGTTTCACGTACTTAGGAGAAAATTCAAAAATTGAAACAGTTTGGTCATTCCACTTGAAGATCATATTTGAATAGCAAGGCATTGTGGAGAAGCTTGTACTAATGCTGCCTATGCTGTTGTGGTTTGGTAATTAAATGGAGGATTTGGATTTCCTTTGAAGTAATGTACAAGCATCTTAATCTATTAACTTCTAACTCTTGAAATCATATTTTAAAAGTGGCTATTCTCCCCTTCCCCCCCTCAGCTTAGTAAACAAATGGAAGAAAAGGCAATGGTCAGAGGAAGCATTAATGTGTTCCATCTCCCTGTTATATGGTTTTACAAATAGTTATGTTAAATCACTTTCTTAGGGTTTTCTTCACGACTCTTGCCTAGAAACTTCAGAAAAATAGCTGTTCACTCACACTCAGATTTATTTAAAGCTGTCAGCTAAAATCTCAGACGATTCCATCTGCACTGAGTGTCCTCCATCCCCACAGAGCTCCTTCATGCTGCTGGATGGCACATGCACTACCCCACAGTGGATACCCCAGAGTGGCAAGAGCTGAGCAGAGCTTCTCCTAGCCTTGCTCCTCCCAGTAGCTGGGGCCTGCTGTACTGCCAAGCACAAGAACTGAGAATAAGGAGCCTCCTGTGCTCTCATTAATACAACTCTTCTGGGATCGGGGGTGGGGGGGGGGAGGAAATGTAGAGGAGGAAGCAGCCAAACTCAACGAGAAGAACATGGAAAGGTGAGGATGGGAGTACTGGGGGCAGGAGCAGGGGGAAGAGCATACAGAGCTGGAGGGAGGTACAAAGGATGGGAGGGGACAGAGGCAGGATCCAGGAGGAAGGGGGAATAGGAGCAGAGGAGAAATGGAGGCAAAAAGTGGAGGGAAGGGAACAGGAGCTGGGGAAATGATCTGGAGGCAGGAGCCAGGGTGAAAAGGGAGAATAGAAACAGAAGGTGGGGCTGGGGAAGGAGGATTCATGGTTATGTAACTAGAGCACACTCCCTTCCAGAACCTGGAATTAAACTCAAGATTCCGGAGTCTCAAAATTTCTTCTGCGGTCTAGCAAATAGCTGTGAAGCACCCTGGCAAAGTCTCATTACCCTATAGAGGCCGGTCCACATGGAGGATAACAGCCTGTTCCTGGTACCCATTACTCCATGAGCTCAAGTACTAGAAGTTTGTGCTCTGAATCTAAAGGTCCCAACCCTTCTGATAATCCTCATATGGTGCACTGTAGTTCTACATGATGGAATTCTGTGTGTTAAATTTTAAAAAGCATAGGAAATTAAACTGAAAAACATAAATTTCTGTTTTCTTATGTAGACCTGAATATATAGTGATCAGTCTTCTGACTTTCAGACAACTTCTTAAAACCTGTTCAAAAACAGGATGTAAACACTTCTGAGCCTGTTTGTCCATAGATTACAGGTAGATCTTTTATTTACCCTTATAAGTATATATAATCTCTTAGGCCTGTCCATTTAGGTCCTGGCAGAATGAATGGATGAATATTACATTTGCCTGGGCTTCTAATCAAATTCTTTCCTTTCTATGCACTCAGTTCAATTTACTTTTTTTCCAGCCTTTTAAAGGATCTTTTGCATTTGGGTGTGACAAACTATTTGATACAGACCAGTGTCTATTTGTTTACATGCCAACATTCATATCAGAGTTCCTTCATGTGCAGTCCTTTCTCAGTTCATAATTTATTATTGACAGTACTATGTGACATTCATAAATCTTAATCTGATCCTAAAATTCTTTTATGTTTGTAGGCTATGACCCTGCAGTAAGGACTGCACAAGTGAACTCCATGCACCTGCATAGAGCCCCCCGAAGTCAGTGGATGCTGTAAGATAGTTCTTGGATTAGCTAGTGGAGCATCAGAGCCCTTGGACTTTCACCTATTACGATAATGCCATACAATCGGGGGTAGCACACATTTTCCATGACATAACATTTTGGGAGGTAGGAAGTGAAGAATACTTAAACTTCACAGGAGAGTTAAATAGACTAAAATGAGACTACTATAGCTAGAATTTTTCCCATATGTTGAGACTAATCACTTCTGTTCTTGCAAAAAGTGTCATGTGATCTTTGGCCATAAGTAAGGCTACAATTTTGTCACAGAGGTCGTGGAAGTCACGGCATCCATGACGTTCAAAAACCTCTGTGACTTCAGCCCACGGCGGCTGGGAGCTGCAGGGTCCTGTTGCCTTCCACAGTGCCTGGGAGCTGTGGTGGTGGGGATACCTGGCAGCTCCAGGCCATCATGAGGGGCGGAGGTCCCAGTAGCTCCCCACAGGCAGCGGCAGGGGGACCCCAGCAGCTCCCAGCCTGGGTGGAGGGGACCCAGGAGCTCCAACCACCTATGGGTGGTGAGGGCCCAGGAGCTCCCAACCAGCCACGCAGTGCTTCCATGAATTTTTCTTTATTGCCCATGACCTATCCATGACTTTTACTAAAAATATCCATGACACAATCTTAGCCTTAGCGATAAGTGGTTAGGATCTCTGTTCTGCTTCTCTCAAAGATGGTGGCACCTGCATCAGATAACCAAGATACATAACAAAATAATTAGCCCCAGTGAAGCACCAAAGTTACGTTTACAGGAATAAATACAGTTATAACTGAGTCTTAAAAATCTGCACTTTGGATACACAAGTAGTTATGGTAGTCAATATATATTTTCCTATTAACAGGAATAATTCCAAAGGAATTGCTTCATTACGCTCAGTATAGAATTTTTTTTTTTAACTGCCTAACCTATTCTCCGTGTTTAATTAGCTTGGAGTCTTCATAGTCTCTCTGGGAACTAAATATAGTTGTCTATATCCATAAATTGTAACTCTAATCGTTTTTATTTTTCGGGGATTTGACACAAACCAATGGAAGTGAGAAGTCAGTTAATACTGATGATCCTTAATATAAATTGTTGGGTCATTTTGTGGGGTTTGACTTAAGAGCTGCAAGTCCTTCTGTGTCACAATCTTGACACTTATTTAAATATAGCTTTGCTGTATTTAATTGTAGCTCCTAATAATTTAGGTCCCAGTCCAACATAGTGATGTGCATAAGCAGACCGTATTCCTATACAGTCCCCCTGGATCACTTTGCAAGATTAAGTCCATAGTGGGTTTTTTTCCCCCCTTTTAACAAGGAATGAAGCTTCCTATGGCATTCTCATCTTGAAGGTTACTCTGCCTTTTCCCATTCTGTTTTGTTGCAGTATGAGCAAAATTGTGAAATAAGTGATAAACTTATCAGGTGATTGGGCCACCATGTTCTTTATTTTAAAAATATGTGAACTGTGAAAGTTTTTATTAGAAGGCACACTGTTGGTGGTGGCTAATGCTAATGTTTTTGTTGATGGTAGACCTATTCCTGTCATGAGGGTATTAAGATTGATCATTAGGCCCCAGTTCTGCAAAGATTTACACACATGTTTGATTTTATGCACTTGAGTAGTTTCATGGATGTCAGTG